AGTACGTGAAAATAATTCTTAAAATGTGGGGTTAGGAAAACAGAAAACGCATGTTTTACAAACGCCTTTTTTTAGTTATTATTTTATTTGGGTAAATTTAAATGGTAACAATGAATAAACAAAACATCAAGGATTTTATTTTTGTGCTTACTTTTGTTCTACACGTTCTACTTTTCAAGATTTCGGTACCTAAAAATGCCAGAAATTTCACCATTTCTCGGCCAGGGATATGGCCACCTTAACTAAATTATTACAGAGATAAATCCTATATGGATTGTTTTAAAGTATGAAGAAACTTACAAATAGTTTCAGCAACATTTCCAACAACGTATCTCGTTCCGAAACGTCTCGCCAATGAAGCAGCTGCTCTGAGTCCAATTGCGTGCTGAAATAAAGATTGATTAGGAGTCACGAGTCAACAAATAGTAACTTCGCAGTACTTACTGTCAAGGCGTAGTTGTCCAAATGCGCGGTGGTGAATCCGTAAGGGATAAGCAGCATCTGGGAGAATGAGTGGAAGCTGATGTAGGCTACAAGTCTATCGGCAATGGTGGCAATGAACTGAGACATGGATCTGGTAGAGGGTTCCGAAAAAGCGAATGGCCCGCGGTACGTTTCTGCGCAAGGTTGAGCACTGGCACCGCCACTGTTCCAAAAGTACCCCCAGTTACGGTTTGGATCGGCACCGAAACAATTACCTGAGTAAGGCACCCTGGTTTTACGCCACATACGGTTCTGGAAAGAAGATTGTTTACAGTTTTTCCTAGATAGGATGTAACAGTAATGTTGCGACAAACTATCAGGTTCTTCGCGTGAAAACAAAAATGTATATTTTAACAAAAGCCAGGACGCGTAGTAATTTATTTATTAGTTCTGGGAACGGATGGGCCAAAAAGTAAAATATTTCAGTCGACACCAATTGTCGAAAGTTGAGGGCTCTCAAGTGGGTGTAGCGTCGTCCTTCGGAAAAATTCAGCAATATTTTTTTAACAATTTCACTTAGAATCGGGGCCATGTGACAGTCATCTGTCGCGTCCGGGAGGCGCCAACCTATGTTGGGGCATAATAAAGAAACCCATATCGGTAATAACGCGCGAAAACACGAGAGAGACGTAAAGGTTCCGAATTAGAATTAAATTAAATTGTTAAATTGATAATGATTGGAAAAGAAAGATATATGATAAGCTGGTTTTTCAGACGGGCTCTTGTCCCAGCTGCAGAACAGTAGAATGATAAGTTTGACCAACCCGTCTCGTATCGCGTGCGGTACGAGGTCACTAGAGGAAGGCCAGGGTTATTTGTAAATTTAGTCTCAAAATTATTTAGCTAAATGTGAAATCAGTCAATTAGATAACTATTAACATGGTATAGTTATATCAAAGCATCCCGATATTCAGGTCCCCGCCAATAAGATAAGAGCAGTAACTTCTGGACCCAAGAAATGGGCGTGTCGAAGCGAGGTGTCGAATTCGGGAAAGCACATTGAGTGGTCGACTTAGTTTTAGAGTCTCAGGCTAGTTAATAAAGGTTTTTCCAAATTTTGCTATGAAGCGCGCATTCCCTGAATCTCGGTACGCTGTCGCGTGTCAATACATTAATTAATAATGTTGTTCGAGCCGTTGTGTTGTTATTTTGTTTGTTTGTTTTGTTTATTGTTATTAAAACCCTTCTTGGAAGTTTTGGTGTTTCCTTTTGTTTCTCTCAACTACAGTGTTACTCTGTATAGCCAGCCACTGGAATACATTCTACGTAAGCAATAGAGGGTAAGTGCCTGAAATTCATTCTCTGAACATACAACATTTCCTAGTTCCCACGTATTAATTAAAAGGTAATGATATTTATAAACTTCCTTTCGAGAATTAAATATTAAACTCTTTGAAATCCAGACTCGTTATATTACTAGTCATAACGGTAGATAAACCTAAATAAAGAATGCTTGAGCAGGGGCGGCGGAGGGTTGATTTGGGGGGTTGAAAAATTGTGAAAAATTGTATCTTTGGGATTTCTGGCGAAAGTTGACGTCAAACAAAAAAGTATCGAATCTACAACATTTATAGAGGTCACTTTTTACGATAACCTCAAAATTTCCGAGAAAAATGCGAAAGACAGGTTTTTTCTGATTTTTTGTTTTTTATTTCTCATTTCCGTAAAAATAACTTAAGTTTGACGTAACTTGGTGAAAGTATACGTTTCTGTGTCTTAAATAACCACAATTTTATTGGGATAAAAAAAATCAAGAAGTTTCCGAGATATTCATTTTTTCCGGTCCAAAACACTTTTTTTCAAAGAAAAATTCTATTTAGAAAATTCATCGTACAGAGTTCTGCCGGTGATCATTTTTTTCGTTTTGACATAGGTATACTTTTTGGTTAAATAAAAAAATCAAAAACATGCCCAAAAATGCAAAAAAAAATTAAAAATGACAAGCAACAATGAATTTCTCAGTAATTGTTGGTAAAAAAAATCAGAAACTGATTACACCATTCAATTCTACGAAAAAAAAAATACAAAAACAACTGTGTCTCATTGTTTGACCCAAAACTTTATTCTTGTACAGTATTGCTATAAACATCTAAGTCGAATTACAAATGCACAAATGATAAATTATCTCCGGATGATTTGAGATTTCAGCAATACAAAGTATTAACTGCAAAGTTTACTGTTGACGCGAAAATCGAAAACCCAACATTTTGCAAAAACCGTTTTATTTTTTTCTTGCTTTATTTGAAAATGAATTTTAAAATAAATTGCATATTTATATTGCCACTTTTTTAGCTGTATACAATGGCGTCAACATTTTTGCAATCCGACGTTTCGTCTTCAAGGGGCCATCATCAGGTTAATTTATTTAAATACGTCTCTGCTATTTTCATGACAAAGTCTAGTCATTTTTAATTCTGAATTAGATGAAATTACTATTGTAAAGAAAGGTTTTTAGCAATTATTTATTTTTTTCCTGAGTACGGCTTTTAACGCTTTCAAAATATCTATTAGAGTAAGTCATAACAGTATCAAAGTCAATACAGCACAAAATAACCAACAATTTTTTTTAATCGATAATTTAAAAAGTTGTACTGTGCAAAACCGTACTTATCTTATCAACTTCGACGTCACCTGTTACATGAGTGTTGCACAATAATGAAAACGTAATATTGACGGTTGGTAGAAGGAAGCACAAAAACAAGCGCTTAGGTGGGGATTCTGAAAGGAAGCCTAGATAGTGGAAGTGAGAAGAGCGCAGAATGAAAAGTAAGACGATCGGTGTACGGTGAATATACATGAGCAGTGTGACAAAATAGTGAAAAATTAAAAGTGTTTAACCGGTATTAATCAGCAGGTAAAATTCTCTAAGTACTTTGTTGTTAATTGATCTATGTAATCTTATGATTGTGATGGTTATAGATATTTCATGATAATAATTCTTTGTATGTTTAGCTTCCATTGCTTTATGCTTAGGGGCGTATATTTTTCCAACGTAAAATTGTTACAATTATTATTAAGGATTGCTCATTATTTATTACATGTTAAAATATACATANTGTTGTTATTATTACCTATTATTATTGTTGTTATTATTACCTATTATTATTGTTGTTATTATTACCTATTATTATTGTTGTTATTATTACCTATTATTATTGTTGTTATTATTACCTATTATTATTGTTGTTATTATTACCTATTATTATTGTTGTTATTATTACCTATTATTATTGTTGTTATTATTACCTATTATTATTGTTGTTATTATTACCTATTATTATTGTTGTTATTATTACCTATTATTATTGTTGTTATTATTACCTATTATTATTGTTGTTATTATTACCTATTATTATTGTTGTTATTATTACCTATTATTATTGTTGTTATTATTACCTATTATTATTGTTGTTATTATTACCTATTATTATTGTTGTTATTATTACCTATTATTATTGTTGTTATTATTACCTATTATTATTGTTGTTATTATTACCTATTATTATTGTTGTTATTATTACCTATTATTATTGTTGTTATTATTACCTATTATTATTGTTGTTATTATTACCTATTATTATTGTTGTTATTATTACCTATTATTATTGTTGTTATTATTACCTATTATTATTGTTGTTATTATTACCTATTATTATTGTTGTTATTATTACCTATTATTATTGTTGTTATTATTACCTATTATTATTGTTGTTATTATTACCTATTATTATTGTTGTTATTATTACCTATTATTATTGTTGTTATTATTACCTATTATTATTGTTGTTATTATTACCTATTATTATTGTTGTTATTATTACCTATTATTATTGTTGTTATTATTACCTATTATTATTGTTGTTATTATTACCTATTATTATTGTTGTTATTATTACCTATTATTATTGTTGTTATTATTACCTATTATTATTGTTGTTATTATTACCTATTATTATTGTTGTTATTATTACCTATTATTATTGTTGTTATTATTACCTATTATTATTGTTGTTATTATTACCTATTATTATTGTTGTTATTATTACCTATTATTATTGTTGTTATTATTACCTATTATTATTGTTGTTATTATTACCTATTATTATTGTTGTTATTATTACCTATTATTATTGTTGTTATTATTACCTATTATTATTGTTGTTATTATTACCTATTATTATTGTTGTTATTATTACCTATTATTATTGTTGTTATTATTACCTATTATTATTGTTGTTATTATTACCTATTATTATTGTTGTTATTATTACCTATTATTATTGTTGTTATTATTACCTATTATTATTGTTGTTATTATTACCTATTATTATTGTTGTTATTATTACCTATTATTATTGTTGTTATTATTACCTATTATTATTGTTGTTATTATTACCTATTATTATTGTTGTTATTATTACCTATTATTATTGTTGTTATTATTACCTATTATTATTGTTGTTATTATTACCTATTATTATTGTTGTTATTATTACCTATTATTATTGTTGTTATTATTACCTATTATTATTGTTGTTATTATTACCTATTATTATTGTTGTTATTATTACCTATTATTATTGTTGTTATTATTACCTATTATTATTGTTGTTATTATTACCTATTATTATTGTTGTTATTATTACCTATTATTATTGTTGTTATTATTACCTATTATTATTGTTGTTATTATTACCTATTATTATTGTTGTTATTATTACCTATTATTATTGTTGTTATTATTACCTATTATTATTGTTGTTATTATTACCTATTATTATTGTTGTTATTATTACCTATTATTATTGTTGTTATTATTACCTATTATTATTGTTGTTATTATTACCTATTATTATTGTTGTTATTATTACCTATTATTATTGTTGTTATTATTACCTATTATTATTGTTGTTATTATTACCTATTATTATTGTTGTTATTATTACCTATTATTATTGTTGTTATTATTACCTATTATTATTGTTGTTATTATTACCTATTATTATTGTTGTTATTATTACCTATTATTATTGTTGTTATTATTACCTATTATTATTGTTGTTATTATTACCTATTATTATTGTTGTTATTATTACCTATTATTATTGTTGTTATTATTACCTATTATTATTGTTGTTATTATTACCTATTATTATTGTTGTTATTATTACCTATTATTATTGTTGTTATTATTACCTATTATTATTGTTGTTATTATTACCTATTATTATTGTTGTTATTATTACCTATTATTATTGTTGTTATTATTACCTATTATTATTGTTGTTATTATTACCTATTATTATTGTTGTTATTATTACCTATTATTATTGTTGTTATTATTACCTATTATTATTGTTGTTATTATTACCTATTATTATTGTTGTTATTATTACCTATTATTATTGTTGTTATTATTACCTATTATTATTGTTGTTATTATTACCTATTATTATTGTTGTTATTATTACCTATTATTATTGTTGTTATTATTACCTATTATTATTGTTGTTATTATTACCTATTATTATTGTTGTTATTATTACCTATTATTATTGTTGTTATTATTACCTATTATTATTGTTGTTATTATTACCTATTATTATTGTTGTTATTATTACCTATTATTATTGTTGTTATTATTACCTATTATTATTGTTGTTATTATTACCTATTATTATTGTTGTTATTATTACCTATTATTATTGTTGTTATTATTACCTATTATTATTGTTGTTATTATTACCTATTATTATTGTTGTTATTATTACCTATTATTATTGTTGTTATTATTACCTATTATTATTGTTGTTATTATTACCTATTATTATTGTTGTTATTATTACCTATTATTATTGTTGTTATTATTACCTATTATTATTGTTGTTATTATTACCTATTATTATTATTGTTATTATTACCTATTATTATTGTTATTATTACCTATTATTATTGTTATTGTTTTTTCCGGCCCTGCCGGCTAACTAACACCAAACTTCTTCAGTTTTACTTGGAAGTGTGTATGTCAAATTCGAGTGAGGTGACATTTAGTGCCACATTAAATGAGTCGGCCTTTGTTAGCGGTTGTTTTGTATTTATATTTGGGTGGTTAGAGCAACGATCGTGGGTTTCTCTGTCATGCTCTTTCCCCACAGGAGCTCTAACATAGGTGAGCCTGGCACTCTCATTTTATGTTAAATGGTTGTTTATGTTTTTGTTGTTCTTTCTCTTTGTCACATGTTTAATTTGAATTGTTGTACAATAATAAGGTTAGGTGTATTTACTCTGTTTTTGTTTTATAAAATTAAACCATACATCCCCTCTTTAAAGTTAGTAGCCAGCGCCTATCGGTCAATTAAAAGTAGATGTATACAACGTAGGTATTCCTTATGACGATCATATATTTTTGGCCACAACTACGTTTATTTTTCTTTTTTTGATCGAACCAGGGTATGTTATACTACAGTACTTACCTAATAAAAAAATAATACGAATTTATGAATGTTTTATTATTTCTAATTAATATTGCTAATAGTTGTTCGATATTTTGTGCGGTATTGACTTTCATACTGTTATGACTATATCCAATAGATATTTTGATAGTGTTCAGAGCCGTACTCAGGAAAAATTTTAAATGATTTTAAAACAAGTTATAAACTTTTTAAGCGATTACAATAGTAATATTATCTAACTCAGAATTAAAAATGACTAGCAAAATTTCGGGTTTTTCCGGATATTTCCGACACTACCCGGAATTTTAAAACTTTCTAAACGGCATACCTATTGTTAGGTACAAAGAACACAACTTTTTTTGTAATCTGAGCCACCCCGTATCTCTTACAGTTTCCTAAATGCTAATGCTATCCCATCATTATTTTAGACACACTGTATATCTATGAATTCATCAAATTAGAGAAAAATAAGTACACTAATCGATCCTACGGAAATTTATTTTTTCACTATTCGACTTATATTTATAGCAATACTGTACAAAAATAAAGTTTTGGATCAAACAACGAGACAGTTTTTTTTTGTATTTTTTTCGTACAATTGAATGGTGTAATCAGTTTTGGAATTTTTTAAAATTTAAACAAATTATCAACAATTACTGAAAAATTTATGGTTGCAAGTCATTTTTATTTTTTTGTTGCATTTTTGAGCATGTTTTTGAACTGTGATTACAGATTTTGTTATTTCACCAAAAAGTATATGTCAAAACGAAAAAAAGGATCACCGGCAGAACTCTGTACGATGATTTTTCTTTGAGAAAAAAGTGTTTCAGACCGGAAAAAATGAATATCTCGGAAACTTCTTGATTTTTTTATCTAAAAAAATGTGCGGTTCTTTAAGACACAGAAAGGTATACTTTCACCAAATTTCGTCAATATTAAGTTATTTTTGCGGAAATGAGAAATAAAAAACGACAAATCAGAAAAAACCTGTTTTTTGCATTTTTGTCGGATATTTTGAGGTTATCTTAAAAAGTGGCCTCTACAAAAGTTATAGATTTTTGCATAATCTACAACTTTTGTATTGGATACTTTTTTGTTTGACGTCAACTTTCGCCAGAAATCCCAATAATACAATTTTTCACAACTTCTCAACCCCCCAGATTACCCCCCTCCCCGCTACCCCTGCTCACGCACTAATGTTTTTTTTCGTTTATTACAAGCCCCTTTACCATTTCCACTTATAAAAGTCCAGGTAACAATTTTCTTTTTTTTTCCCCTGAATGAGTTATTTTAATCGGTCTGTGGATTCTACGATCCTTCAAAAATTGGATATAAAGCAGTTAACCCATGAACCATTGAAACTGTTAACTTGAAAGACAGCCGCATCGAAGTTAGACGTGGTCTAAGTAGTTTCAACCATAAAAAAGTAATTTGGCATTGCAAAGACTATTCGTTTATAGGTTTGGATAGACGCTTTCTAAGTAAAATATTTAAACCTCTTGAGTTTTTTTCATATCTTAAGGATAAAGTGGATATATAGGATTTGTATGGGTAAACTTACGTTGGTGTGGGTGAAGGAATATCCATCGGGGTTAAAAACGGGGAAAACGTACCAATCGTACCTCTCAGCAAATCTACGGAAAGCAGGGTCGGTACTCGTCACTATTTCATTGAGAATATAAGTGTTGACTGCGCCAGCAATCCTGCAATGAAAACAGTTTTTATAATAGTCGTATAATCTATAAAAGCGTTTATTTTGATCAAGGATACATTTATTTAGTATGGCTGTTTAAACTTAATCTTAAAATAAAGGGAAATTTCCATGAATTTGTAGAGGCGTATTCCAAAACTAAGGTCCGTTTGGTCATAAAAAAATAAGCTCATGAGAAAATGTTTTTATTGACTTTAATATTTTACTACATATCTATTGCAATTTTAAGGTTATCTGCAAAAAAAAACAGAATTTTATATCGCGAACAAGTCATTTAAAAAAAATCATAAACTGACGCGCTGAGTATCCTCTGAACGGGCGGTCGTGACGTCACCGCATGGGAAACCTATGCTGCATGCTTGCGTGTATTGTTAGTCAGTCGGGTAGTCGGGTTTTTTGTTGCCTGTGAAGTTTCGATTGAGTACATTAAGACCCCGAATTTTGTTAGCAATATGGAAGACACAGAACAGAAAAAAAATTACAAATATTGTATTATTCCCCTGTGTGAGAGCACTAGTTTGAAGGCACCTGAGAAAGTAATAATAATAATGTCTCCGTAATTCTGTCGTGTGGTTCTAAAATCAATAGTCTCTACTTTGATTTTTTTTAATATCTTTCATTTAAAAAATTACTTATTTTGAAAGCAACAAAATTACCCTGGTAATTTAGTTAAGTAATAAATACGTTTATATCCTCTTGAAATACTACACTTATGTTAGTGTTCTTCATTGTTGATTTTTTTGTGATGTGAATATTATACAAATACTAATACTAGGTACTAATTGTAAGTATTTATATAAAAATACATAATAAATATTATATTATTAATATATTTATAAGATATTAGTCAGATTTATGTAATTTCCATGGGAATAAGAATAGTAATAAGAATTTTGCATTTGATTAGATAAATCTTTGAAAAGAAGCGTCCAATTAAACGTAAAATCCTTATTCTTATTTACTATTCTCATTGTACAAAAACATCAAAACTTTCGCCATAAACGTATTTTATAGAAGCTTTATACGTTATTAAAACGTACCTTCGCATTTTCACTCGTTCAGGACTGATAATGTCGTGATTTTTATTAGAAAAGACAAATAATCGCATTTTAAAAATCATATAGTTTGAAAACCGCTCAACGGATTGAGTTGAAATTTTCAGGATCGCCTAATCATGAGCAATACTTTGTGTTTATAAAATACGAACGTTTTTGAAAATTTACTAAATAAGCCCATTTAACTAGGTGGTAACGCAAGACGCAAGTCTTGAGTTCATCGTGGTTTCTAAATATTGTCCACCCAGCCACTGTTATAGGGTGATAAAAAATTTCCCAACAAAAATCTTGAATCTTCTTCTTGGTTTTGGCAGCGGTGTGAGGGCGTGCGTTGTTGTAAAAGAGAATTATGCCAGACGACAGCTTCCCGCGACGTCGATTTTGGATCGCACGTGTCAGTTTTGCAAGCATTTCACAGTATACTTCAACTGTAATTGTAATTGTTGATCCACGATCCATGAAATCAATCAAAAGGACGCCCTTTTCGTCCCAAAAGAAGGGTAGCCATCATTTTTCGATTTGAGAAAGGAAATGGCCTAAACTTTTTTGGTTTGGGTGAACTGGAATGGCGCCACTGCGTTACAATATCCACGTCTCGTCGCCCGTAACAATGTGGAGAACAAATCATCCATCTTGTATATAGCCCTCCAAAAACTGTTGTGCACTACGCATTCTTTGCTCATTTTGCTGATCAGTGAGCATTTATGGCACCCACCTCGCATACCGTTTCCAATATCCAAGCTGTTGACAATCCTGTAAATTGAGGTTCGAGCAACATTTGGTTCACTTGATCAACGATGTCGTCGGTCCGATTACTGGACCTGCCACTCCGCTATTCATCGTGCACATTTGTGCGGCCATTTCGAAATTCTCCACACCATTTTCGAACTTGTTTGTGACTCATTATTTCAGATCCGTACACTTAGGCATAACTCACGATGGATTTCAGCAGCGGAAGATCCTTTTGACAGCAAAAACCTAATCACTTCACAACTGGTGGGATCTACGATTGTCTCGGCCATTGCAATTAGCTCTCACCGACTGCAATAGTTTCCTAAACAGTCGGTAGTATGCGTAAACTTTTCAGGCCTACCACCAGTTAAATATTGATCACCTGACCTTAGTTTGGGAATACGCCTCGTAAATAGTCTCTATCTGGACAATGATTTAAAATAACTCTGGTACTATTCGTTTCACAAAATAACATCAAAAAATCATTAGCATATAATTTTTACATTTTGCTAGAGAAAGCAGGAGGTATAGTCTGGAAAATGTGCAAAATTTCTATAACAATGACAAATATATTCATTGTATTTCCTAGAAGAAAATCATTCTCGAAGGATATACATTTTTGAGGTTCCTAATGTTAGTGACTATCTCTGCTATTAGATGACATGATTTAATTGGATAAAATTTTAAATCTGACTAATTAATCCCGAAACACTATAATTAGTATATTATTATAATCTTCAGTTATAATGACTTCACTTAAATAAACAATTCTTGGTTGAAAAACAATTTACTTAATTTAAAATGCAACATCAGCAGGTATAACAAATAAAAGTATAATTTTTTTCTGTTTCTCCCCAAATTTGAATCCACGTGAAATACAATTATAAATTTAATTTTATGCGCTATCAAGCAGATAGATGTTATAACCAACCAGTCGGCAAGCATACCCTTTCTTTGATTCCTAATAAGATTACACAGTTTTTGAAAATAGAACATCCTTAAACATATACAGGCCATTCATTCCGAAGAACATCGGCAACGTAACTGGCTAATACAGGAGTTGATATATTAGCAATCAAGAGACATGGTGGTTGGAAATCAGTCACAATTGCAGAAAGTTATACTGCTGACAGTTTAAGTAACAAAAATAAAATAGGCAAAAGGATCCTTTGCAACGACACTTCAACTCTAGGTTCTAGTAGTACGTCGCATTTTGTTGTTTTAATGGATCAGTTAGATAATATTGAGCCTACGGTGACTCAAATGGAGGCGACAAATCATTTTGAAAAAAATGTGACAATTAGTAAACGCGAGGAGAATAATTATCCAGATTTTATAAATGTTACTAAATGAAATAACTGTACAATTACTATAAATATTCATTCATAATAATTAATAAAATGTAATGTTCATCAAATATTTCTATTTATTTGTTCATAAAATATGCATTTATAACTCGAAATCGATTTCTTCCTTAGGGAGGTAAGTTACCTCACTTACCTCCCGTTGTCCATAGCAACTTTTACGGTAAAATCCACTTACCTCCTTAAAAACAATGTATTAATAGTCTATATATTATAGGGAGAGCAGATAAACTTGATGAACAATATTTTATCTCCGTTCATTTTTACTCATTACTAATATTTTTAATAAATTAATTATTATTAATTAATATTAGTTACTATTAGATAATAATAATAATACTGTACATTCTCTTATTTGCGTCAAATTTGAAGAGGGCGAGGGAAAAAAATGACCTACTTTAAAAGTTGCATGATTCTTTGAGCGCTTCAAAAATTATTTTTTAATACTTGTACGACTGCCTTATATTTGAGGGTGGATACCAGTCTCTTGTCACAAGTGGAAACTTATTAGTTCCACATTTCGAAATATTGATCAAAAATCAAAAGAACTATAAATGAAACATTGTGAATATAAAACTTTTTTAAATACACTAATATGACAAGACTGTAGATGCGGATTAGATTATTATCTAATGCTGATAAGTCTTATCTAAAAATTAAAAAAGTACGACTGTGATCATTTTCAGTAGAATGTATCTCAAGTACATGTATGGCAAATATCCCCTTTTCCTTTTTGATTTCCTTAGTTTGAATACTCAAAACAAACTCATAACAATCAACTTCAGATATCTCATAAAATGTAAAAATATATTACCATTCTCTTGCGTGAATTAACGATTCCAGAAAGACAGCGTTATATTGATTAGCGGAACTGAAGGATACTTTAACTCCAAGGATTTCACGTCCTTCGTGGGAAACACCACCTCGGAGGAGGGTCACAGTTCTGGGAAATCTTGTGGCTAAAGATCTGAGGAAGCTGTTGTACTGAAAATTGATTACAATCATAAATTAACGTATCTACCATATTGTTTCTATATTGCTGGTGCACAAAAAAATTGTGGTCTGTCTTTTTTATCAGGCCCTGTTTTATTATGCTTTCAGTCTCACTGAACATGAATCTGAAATCAGTTTTGACACCAGCACCCACCGTATTCGAGAAAATGCTCCCATATCTTCAAAAAATGAGTTATTTGCCAATATTGTTCTTCGAATTTGTTTCTTTGTACAGGGTGTTAGAAGTTTGATTGCCAAAAAATCAAAATCTCTAACTTGATGTACAAAAGTTCGATTAATTAAGAAATATTGACATAACTACGTGCATAGAATGCCATAAAATGCAATGTTTATCACTTTTTTGAACTTCTTTATGTTAATTCTAAAGAATAATCAGCGTTGTAATAAATTTTAAAATTCGATAAAATTCATATCGAGCAATGTGACAACGGGGCGGCGAATAACACGAGGTACTAAGCTGTCATCTGTCCAGCAATACGCAATTCAGTTGGTATCTGGAATTGGACCGTGTCTGAGTGTTTTTTGCGTACCACTATTCTCTTTTCTTGAGGTGTTTTCCAGCGAGTGCGCGAATATTAGATTCGGAGGTGCCGTGTGTGCATCGAAAATGGTGGTGGAATTTTGAGCATATGTTGTAGTTTGTTTTGTACTTGCGCATTTAAAAAAAACTGAATTTTACTTTACCTATACGTATGTTTATTTGGATGACGTGAATCTTTGGGTACTTTAATTACATACTTTTCAAATTCATAATTTAATTAAAAGCCAAGTTCCTGTTTTAAGAGGTTCATAATTACTAAAATTCGAGCTAAAATTTTAGCACAACACTCTCTCCGTACTACAAAATCGATACATTTTATTTTGATAAAACTCCCCAATATTAATACTCGCTGTATTTTGAAAACTGTTAATCTTACGCCCCTGTAATATACAACTTTTTTGTTCATTTATGATTACTCTATCTCATGCTGAAGTAATAGCAGTCAAAATTCTTACAAACTGTATATGCGAAAGATGGAATCTATAGAAGTAGATGACATAGTGCCTCGAAGAACTACTGAAAATGAAGTTGAAAAGGAAGAAAACTTTTCAGAGGACGAGAACGACCAGGAGTACTAAAAGGGAGACTATGATAGTGAAATAAGTGGGATGGAAAGATATATCTGTAAACGATTAACCAAAGTGAGTTAAATGATCATATTTTTAACCTAGGTTTACCGAAATACGGAGCTGCATATTTAGCTAGAAATCTTCTGTATATCACGTAAAACAAGTTTTCGGAAACATTTTTCTTCAGATGAGGTATGCCGAGACAATAATTTTTCTAATACAGGAATGAGAGATATGGTTACTATTTACTGCCAGCAATATTTGAACGGACGTGCTGCTAAATGAAAATATTTCAGAAGATATCCAAATAGGCTGCAACCTAATCACCAAACATTTGAAAATATATTTAGGAATTTAGGCGAAAGTGGTTCATTTCGTCCTAAACGTGATAATTTAGGCCGACCGAAAATCATTACGCCTGATCAAGAAGATGAAATTGGTTCACACTACAGATGATCTTCAAGTTAGTACATGAAGGTTATCTTCAGCTTTAGGAATCAGTAAAACTTCAATTTTAAAAAGACTAAACCTCGATAAATATCACCCCTACCATTTTACGCCTGTGCAAAATTTATTGCCAGCAGATCTACCATTAAAGATACGAATTTGCAAGTGATATCCGAAATAGGCAAAATGTTGACCCCCGTAAATAATAGAATATTATTTACGGACCAGGCAACATTTAGCCGCCGTGGTATTTTTAATTTAAGAAATAATCATATCTGGGAAATTGAAAATCCTCATTGTAAAAGAGAAATACATTTTCAACACGAATTCAAAATAAATGTATGGTGTGGGATCATTGGTGACCATTTTTTAGGGCCATACGATTTCCCGCATACTTTGAATGGTGAGAACTACTTAAATTTTTTACAAAATGACTTCATCGATCTTTTGGAAGAATTGCCACTAAACAGGCAAAATATGTGCACTTCCTCATTATATGAGAGAAGTCAGAACATATTTAAATACCAACTTTCCTGAACGCTGAATTGGTCGTGGTAGTCATTTCCCTTGGCCAGCACATAGCCCAGACTTGAACCCTCTCGATTTTGGCGTATGGGGCGCAATGAAACAACTTGTTTATAAAAGTCCCATAAATACTCGCAACCAACTTTGGGAAGAAATAAATGCAACTGCAGTTTCTTTTGGACCAATCATGTTATTTATGAGGCCATCTTTTACGGAACGTATGGATAAATGCATCGAAGAGAATGGTGGACATATCGAGCACTTACTTTGACATAACTAAACTTGTAATGTTAGTTAGCTTAGTTTTTCTTTTCTTAATATGTGTAAAATTCATTTCTAATTATGATTATTAAAGTTATAATTTAACTCCTTTTATTTGATTTTTTTAATTTTTAAAATTTTTTAATTTTTGATGTCAACTTCTACTATTACGTTAATATTCATCCTGTTGATGTAAAAACATGATAAGCGTATACGACTTCTACGTTAATATTTCTCGTAATGAATTAAAAAAGAATTATGCAGCCGATTTTTAAAATTCGATTATCTCGAAAACCCTTAATTTTAGAGGTTGTTAACAAGTATACATTTTTGTTCTTACAATGCCGTGCCTTTAATATTTTTTCCCCAAAAGAGCGCTACCTTGATGGGCAAAAAAGTTTAGCGTTTAGCCACACATGTGGCTTATGTGGCGCCCTCTAAAAGATGCATTAAATTAGATACTAAATTATGATTTCTCATACCAAAAAATCCCCAGTTAATTTTTTTTTTTTGTATAAATGTCCAAAAACGTTCAAGTTATCGCGAAAAACAAATTTTGAAATTTCACTTTTAACACCCTGTATCTTTCTTATTATCAATATTTTATTAAGGCAAGTTGGCTCAAATCGTAATATTTTAAAGTCACAAATCTACCATACTATGTACAATTACTTAAGGACCACCCTGTATAGAGATTTCAAAATCATTACTATTATCTTAGTACAACAATAAGGATTTTCTAAATATCCTGTTGTCTGTGACTATGGGCCAGTAGAAATCACTATGAGCGAAGAATTTGGTCTAACCGAAATATGAATCCAGGACCTTTCTATATTACTCAAACGCCTTTGCTAGATCCATGCTTCCTCCAGTATACATAAGACTTGGACTAACAAAACAACAATGCGTTAAGGCTTTTAGGTGAAGAAGGGCATTGTTACTGGTATCTGGGGTCTGAATTTTCCTAAATCAGCTATGCTAAATTGAAGGAGAGTATATTCGACTGATCACAAATTCATAGATTATATTGCGTGATGAAGTTTTTGTATTAAAAATGTGTGAAACTGAGAAGGTTTAGAGAAAGTGAAAAAAAAGTATGTATGTATGTATGTATTTAAGTGGAACATGTATATGATAGCTGACTACTGTTGGATGGTTGAAAAGAAAATGTAAAGTTAGATAAAAAAAAAACGAGAAAAAGAAGATATATAGATCTTTTGAAGAGAAAAGAGTTTGCTATAAGCAAACTGGTTAATTAAATGAAAACTGCAGAACATTTACTCTAAATCGTATCTATATCTCCTTGGTACATTCAAGAAACAACCTTTTATATGATTTGATGGGGCATTTTCTCGAATATGGTAGGTGTTGATGTCAAACTGACAAATTCGTTTTAAGCGGGTCTGAAAATATGGATTTGGAGATGGAATCTAGTATACACACCAGAACGTTACAATGCTTAAACATATTTTGCAAATCACTCATTTTTTGAGGATTTGTGAGACATTTTTCTCTAAAATGGTGGGTTCTGGTACCAAACTGGCTTCATTGGGTCCGAACACTTACCAATGCCAATCTGGTCAAAAGAACAAACCACTTCTTTTTGTGTTTAGTCACGCATTGTAGTTTTTAGAGATGAATAAATCTCACATCTTATACAATATCTATGAAAATTACTCATCACCTTCTTAAACATTTTAAATATTACACTAATGTATTCCCAGTTTAAATTCATAATATTACCTCTGCAAGAGTATGATAGCTAGTCCAACCGAAGCTTCCTGCCCTTGATTCTGGTCTAAGACCTTCTTCATCGATGAGTTCTTGTACGTTCTCTATAAATACACTAGCATTCATCCCTCTGGTTTTTGCCATATTTTCTATCTCGTCAATCCGATAAGGAGGTACCATAAGATCTACTTCCCCGCCTACTTTGAGAGGAGGACTCCAAAAATTATACTCAGAAGTCTCTTCTGTGTCCTCCAGTTCTTTAAGGATATTGAGGGTCTCCTCATCTTTAGGAATCAATCTGTAGACCCTGAAATTGTCGAACCTGAGTTTTTCAGCCGAAGAAAGACTTACAGCCAAAGCAAGTAGGGCAAAAAGAAACTTCATCTTTCCTGAAACGATAATGCTAATAAGTTTAATAAATGTTTTAATTCGAGAAAATATATATACACAGCAACTACTCACTTTCTAAAATGAAGTTTCCACTAACACTGCAACCTAAACTTATTGTAGCATATATATTAGAACCTAAATCTGGGGTTAGATTTCTATCAATACATTCAGATTATTTGATATTTACATTCGAGGATTAAACATAGATTATACCATGATATAAAAATAGAGTAGTTATCAGTAATCAGCAGCAGAAGTACCAAGTTCTTAATTGTAATAAGTGAAACAATATACTGCGGATTAATGTTTTCAACGGTTAATCCAAGGCATAACAAATGTCGTCTCGATTTTACTGACAACATGTAACATGTGTAGTCCGAGCAAAAAGTTTGAAGGACAACATACGTACAGTGCCACAAAAAGTTATGAGTATTCTAGCATAGCAAGCAATAAGTTCACTGGTACTTTTTTTAGTATTTCCAAAAGAGAATTCAAATTTTCCCACGTTCCATGAAAAAATAGGTAGGTAAGTGATTTAGGTTTTTCGTTAATTTACTGTATACAGGGTGTAAGAAGTATGACTGCCATAATTTCAGCATAAGATAGAGTAATCATAAATGAACAAAAAAATTGTATATTACAGGGGCGTAAGATTATCAGTTTTCAAAATACAGCGAGTATTAATATTGGGGAGTTTCATCACAACGTGACAACAGCGCTATACAGACTTGTCCTACGGAGAAAATGTAAACAACTATTATTGTGAAACATTTAGTAAATTCCAAAACAATTGTTTTCCAGTTTTTAAATAAATAAAAATAAAATGTATCGATTTTGCGGTACTAAGATAGTGCTGTCCTTCAATTTTAGCTCGAATTATGTATGTATGTATTTTCGATGCACACACGACACCTTCGAATCCGATTCTCGCGTACTCGCTAGAAAACACCTCAAGAAAACAAAATAGTGGTACGCAAAAAACACTCCGACACCGTCCAATTCCAGAAACCAACACCAACTGAATTGCGTATTGCTGGACAGCTTACAATTAGTACCTCGCGTTATCCGCCGCGCCGTTGTCACATTGCTCGATATGAATGTTATCGAATTTTAAATTTATTACAACGCTAATTATTTTTTAGAATTAAGCATAAAGAAGTTAAAAAAAGTGATAAACATTGTATTTTATGGTGTTCTATGCACGCAGTTATGTCAATATTTCTTAATTAATCAAACTTTTGTACATCAAGTTGGAGATTTTAATAATTATTTTCTCGGAAATGGTTCAGTTTAGGACCCATGTCATATAAGATTTTTTGTTTATTTTAATGTATTTTATCGTCTTGATTTTTTGTTATTATTTAGTAGCTTTTATGAATTTTTTCAAATTTTTATTTCAACCCCTCAAGATGTTATGAACATTTGAATATTTTGGGTAAACAATTTTCAAATACCTATACCTTGGCCAAAAATCAAAATATCATAACCTTTTTTATCAATTTGTTTAATTTGAGATGTAGTTTTATAAAAAAAAAATATAAAAATACATTTTTAAACCAAAAACGGTAGCATTTTTTTTCTTCGAAAAATTCTCAAAAAATCGTCTTTCAATATGCAAATTTATGAGACAGGTTCCACAGTGGGATCTTTTTATTCTATTTTTTTCGAAGTAAAAAAATTTTTTTGTATTTTACAGATAATGTACGCTATTAAACCAATTATAGAAGTAAATTGCGATGATTAATTACTGAAAATACCATATTTTTGAAAATATTTACCTACTAATATTATTATTATTAAATATCTAAATTATTATTAACTAAATATTCCCAATATTGAGCAAAATACCGATTAGATGATGATGGTGAAACAGCAAGATCGGAAATGTTATTTTAGTTATGAAAATAAAAGATTAAAAAAAGAAAAACAAAAATTTTTCAAAACCTAAGTAAAGTTTTTGTATAATTGAATTGTTGTCAGAATGCATAGGACGGAATTTTCGGAATATGTCCTGCCCAAATTCACAGCCCCACAAAAAAAAAGTGGCAGGTCCGAAAGACAAGACCATGGCATCCATATGGTTTTGGGGTCTCTGAATCCGAATCCGGTAACCGATTGATAGGATTAGCTCTGGTTTAAGGTCAGTTCAAGGTCAAATGTAGAAAATCAATTGTCAACAAACTAAACCTACGTATCTAGGTATACATTTTTGATGTCGCCGAATCCGAATCAGTTCAGGGTCAAATGTAGAGAATCGATTGCCAACAAAGTAAATCTACATATCTATAAGTTTCTGTAGTCTCCGAATCCGAATGTGATGTCCGTTTGACTCAATCAGATCTGGGCTGAGGTTAGTTCAAGGTCAAATGCGGAGAATCAACTGAAAACAAAGTAAACTTACATGTCTATACTTTTTTGGGGTCGTTGAATCCGAATCTGATGTCCGTTTAAACCGATCAGGTCTATTAAATACTTTCTAATAGAAAAAGATCGATCAACATACGAAAGATGCTTATACAAATTTTTTGGTTTTAAACCTAAGCGAAAAATTTGATTGGGTTTAAGCAGAGAGAAAGGTTTCACCAAGCTATTAAAAAAGGAGGAAATTTGGTGGCAATGAAACTATGACTGATATTGCTAGTGACACTAGTGATGACGAATATCTTCCAAATCACGTTGTGAAAAAGACAGGAACCAAATCACAAAAAAAATAATAATGTTCCAGATTTGAGCCTGGCAGAGAATGGAGCAGAGTTCCTAATATCTTGGCTAAAAAAAATACTAGTCAAGCCGGAAAAGTGGAAGCTTTTTACTATCACTACAGAAATAAGGAATATTTTTCTAACGATGAAGAATTTTCCTTAGGTTACTATAATGATATTGTTGGATGAATCACTTCAAACGTGGATGTTATAAACCTAACGAGTGGAATGGACTGTTCATTGATTCATCAAAGAGAAGCATGTTCCACTGCATAATACAAATGTGTATGCACCCATACCTGTAGCACATTGAAACAAGAGTGCCGTAATTTGAAGATAGTCTTACATGGGATCAAATACGAACCATATAAATAACAAATTTGTGAGAATCATCACAATAATACTGGGCCAAAAATCGGTATTCACAAAAACTCCTTGTTTTTTATGCGAATGCGATAGTTGGGATCGAAAAAATCACTACATTAAGCCTTCGATGCTGGATTTTAGAATATAAAACATGAGCCAGTCGATTCATAAAAAGCCTTATTCCACCTCAGCACATCAAATTGGAATTCACGAAACAATGGAAAAAAGCTCTGACCAAAGATGGTCAATTCTTTAAGTATATTGGAGATCAGTTCTCCAATTTAAGTGATGCAATATTGCAGGAAGAGATTTCTGATGGACCTCAGATCTGTAAGATGTTAAAGGATCACATTTTTGATAGTAGAATAAATGAAAAGGAGGAAGCAGGATGTATGTTATGTTTTTATGTTTTAAGGAACTATTCGAAAATTTTCTAGGAAATTAAAATAGTCAAACTATAAAAAATAGTGTAGGATTTCGTAGTAAGCTTTAAAAACCTAGGCTGCTTAGTGAATTTCAAATTATATTTTTTACATTCTCGTTTGGATTATTTCCCAGAAAATTTGGTTGACTACAGTGAGGAGTAGGGAGAGATTTCAACAATATGTTATGAAGTGTCGGTACCAAGATAGATCGGATTTAAACCATAATAGTGGGATATAATGATTTCATGTGATTCATCAAGGCAAAAAACTTCCTCTTGAAAAATCTGTTCTCAAGAATCTCAAACGACACGGACTGACTGTGTAAATTATATGAAGCATTAACGGACACATAAGTTTAAAGCTTATTTAATTGGGCTTAGAAATTATAATTGGAATTTGTTTCTTGAACTTCTTTCTTTGAAGACGAATAACTCCACAATGAAGCCCGATAAGAAAAAAAATTATGAAGTACTACAACTATTTTGAGCTCCCCTGTACACCCCTTCATTTTTACATGACCTTTCCGGGCAGCCGCATATATTCCCTGACCCAGTCAAGCTGCAATTAAAGCTTTAGGTACACACACGATAAGCTCAAACCTTGTGTGAGATTGTTTACAAATGCTGATTGAACTGGCCACCATATAATACAGTTAGACTGTATTAGGTGCCAGGACATAAAAGCATTTGTGGGAACGAGAAAGCCGATGAACTTGCTATGAAGGAGTTCATTGGTCCGGAGCCATTCTGCGAATCTCCCAGTGTGGTCAGGCAGGCTCTGGGCAAATGGACTGAAATAGAACACAGTAGATACTGGACATCAAGGCCAGGACATAGCCATTCTAAGGAGCTCGAAGGAAAGAGCAAATAAGCTGTAACGGGATACTTTCACTTCAGGACACATCCATCTACATAAGCTAAAGCTTGTAGACAGTCCGGTCTGCCGAGGGTGTGACTAGGTGGATGAAACTTCTCAGCATATCCTAGGCCAGTACCCGGGATTTGCTCGTAGTAAAATGACACTCTTGGGAATACCCTATTTGGAACCCAAGGAGCTGAGAGAAGTGTCAGCAAGGAAGCTTTTGGACTTTGTTGAAAGGCCAAAACTACTTTCTGAATAGGACTAAGTAGTGGGACGCACAATAGGCCTAACAAGGCCGCAAAGCCATGGGACTTATCAGAACCAACCACTAGGAAAGAAGAAGAAGAAGTATATGTAAGTATTACACACTATAGGCATAACTATGACAAAGACCATTTTATTCTTTAAATCCATAGATTTTAATCGCGAATTATGTAGGTTTTATAACTCGTAAACATTAAAAAACAGCATCTCACCACTTGTATACTTATCACTTGCATAATATAAATAAAAAAATTCCACAAACACAATCCGATAAATTAGCTATAAATCTATCAAATGATTTGATTTGTCTGACAACTGTCTTATCGTCCGCTTATAAACAATTTAGTTTTTGTGTAAAAAATTTTCACTTATATTAATTCATTTATTATTTTTTTTAACGTAACAAGCATTTTTCGATTTAGCGTAAAATTTCCTTTCAAATGTTATTTAGCATATTAAATCAAAAAGTTACATATTACGAAATCGAGTCCATGACATCTAATGCTTCTTTCTATCTTTTCAAGAATTGTAATAAACCTGAATG